TTAAGAAACAATGTTTAACATGAAATATAGACATGACATAAGCCATAAAATAAAAAAAATAATACATGTAGAAAAAAAATCAACTAAAATAAATAAATGAACGAATGATAAAAAAGGAAAAATTGCAAAAATGCCACTTTTTATGTGAACATTTGTAAAAAATACCACTTAGGGTGTTCAGTTGCAAAAATACCACTAATTATAGATTTTTAAACCCTTTATCTCAAAATTCTAAACACTAAAAAATATTTTGACCCCTAAACCCCCTCTAAACCCTCATAATTAAACTCTAATAGAACATAGTTAACCCAAACATAAATAATATAAAGAACAAATAATTTTGAAAAAGTGGCATTTTTGTAAAGATTTCAAAAGTGTGGCATTTTTATAAAGTGACACTTGAAAAATGGTATTTTTTGAAATTTGTCTTTAAAAATGTATATAAATTGGAAAAAAAAAAGTAGAATGGTTATAGAAACCTCAATTTTAAAGTTTAAAAATATACAATCATGCAAAAATCTATAAGAATATTTATTTTATCAATATAGAGTTACAGAATATCACAAAGCAAATATAAATTTTTGACCTATGACGTCATTGGTACTCTTCAACTGTATATATTGAAAATTATATCAGTTAAAATATAATATTAATATATTCACTATTAAGTTAATACCATATAAAGTTTGGCGAGTATAAATCTCTATGACAAATAAAATNATGACATTAATAAAATACAATTATCAATCATATACTTATGTGATGGTTCGCAACATTATTATAATTTTTATGAGGTTACTAACATAAAATTTACTCTTTTCTGATTTAACTATATATTATTTTAGTTGTTTTTTTTAATCACATAATCATAAATATTCATGGGTGAAAATATAGTTTTTCTCTGTTATTAAGAATATGATTTAAATTTCGCTAATATATATTATTGGATTTGAATGATATGTATTAGAACATGAGAATTATGATATAAATTGACTTCTACTGGTTTTAGGATCCACTTTAAATAGTAT